TCAAAAATTATTGTACTCTTCGGCAACACAGTGAGCTACGTCAGCGTCATATTTTAAACAGTCGCTGGTGCTTGGTACAGAGTGGAATTCGTGAGCGAAGTCACCCCGTGTCTTTGCTAAAATACAATGCACCGGCAGAACTTCTGCCATCGACTCGGAGGGAGACATTTTGTCTGGTTAGAATACCAAACCAGCCGCTGAATAAAATCCACTTGCTTGTGCGTATCATTTCGGACGGCTCCATAAGCCTCGAACTGGGCTTCCGGTGTAGTAGTGACGAGCACCCGAAGAAGGACCTTGCCGATGACCTGGCCACCCAAAGCTGAAGCGTCTGACATCTTGTCTAGGTGCCACCTTGTAGACGCGGCAGAGGGCAAATTTGAAGTTGGTTAGCATCAATGCACCAATACTTACATCGTTGACATTATGTATGCCTACATAGTCTCTCGGAAAACAAAAGCATACAGAATTTCAAGGAGCACGGAACTGTGACATCAGCAAAAGCTGTAGTGAGCCGGCTAATGAATGCCGACAAATTAATCTACAATACTTATTTATGAAAACAAAATAACGCGTGTCTTGCTTTCATCTTCTGTGAGATACTTCCCGCTTTTCGTTGCACAGAAATATATTGATATTAGCAGGAATATTTGTAGCCCGACGCAATATTCGGAAGGAAGAAGTGATAGACTGAGAAGATAGAGCTCTCTGTCCTCTCAGTCTATCCCTTCCTGTTTCCGTATTTCACCTCGCACTACAATCTTCTTCCTAATTCATCACCAATGAGCCTACATTGAAACTCTGTTGTTAGCGTCTTCAGCGTGCTAAATATGCGTCTCACTAGCGTCGTATATTTCAATGCTCGAAAAACTAGAAGACTAAAGCGAGCAGATCATTTGTGCATAAAACATATAAGCTTCAGCTATTTTTTCTATAAATTTCATGGTAGGCATGTTAGTATATGTTAAAATAAATTTTGAAAGGTGATTACCACCAGGTTCAGCGTAGCATTTTTGCAATGCTATGTCAAAAAGAACCACATTACGCAACTCACTAACCTCATACAATGCACGGGCGAATTGAATATATTCATCTCGATAATCCCTGTTAATTTTCACACCCACTACAACCTAGGTCTCAACCTCTTTGTGTGTCGTGGTTCAGTACTGTTGCTGGATGAAAAAAAAACGAATAGTATTCGGGCAATTGATGCCATAAGCTAATGTTCCGGTAAAATTACACCTTCAAACTTGAATAGCGGTGAATAGTGCAGACTGGAGCATACCTTGGTACATTACTGTTTATAACGTGTCCCATTGTGCACGTGGTTCATTGCTATATGGTATGCGATCACGAAGCGGGCAAGAACAATTTGTGGACATTCCACCTTTACTTAAATCATGGCTCCACTCTTACTTCTGATAGAGGTGCAAGGTGGTGTGAGGCCATAGTGTTTCGTTGTGCCCAGCCTCTCCAATGATACCACGCCTGAGAAGGGCTCGTTGATGCCTCAGTGCACCAAGGTTAATAAGAACGGCCGTTTTCCTTTCTCGCGTCGTGATTTCGTGCTCACGTAACTTGAAATTCTGCGCGTCTTTTCCGGTAATTTTACCCCTATACAAAAGTGTTCGACCACCACGATGAATAGTTGAGTATTCACTGCAAGAAAATTACCAAATTTGTTTGTTTTTACGCACCCAGGTTGACTACGCAGATCGCAACCACTATTGAAAAAAAATTGTGACACAAGAATTGTTATCCTGGATTCCTACGGGATCGAATAGCGCCCAGAAGTAAACTCATTAGCTTACCCACCCTCTCCTTCGATTTCGAGTAAGTTTTCCAAGTCTATTATTCATTAGTAGCGAATAAATTTACCATTGTGACAGACTTCCGCTGTTTCTCAGCGAGGCTCAGTAACACACCTTCAATATCGTGGTTAAGCTAGCTTGTTGGTATAATAATAGTTATTCCAAATAGCGCCGACACGGGAAACAGAAGAAACCACAGCGTCTATGTTAGGTGGTCTTTTCTGTGTCCCGGTTCTGAGTTGTTTGGAATGATTGCGCTTACCCATGAATATTTGTCTTCTGTGCGCGTCCTTAAAAAGTGAATTTTACACCTTGCTAGCTTTATGATGATGATTGATATATGGGGTTCAACGTCCCAAAACCACTATATAATTATGAGAGACGCTGTAATGGAGGGCTCCGGAAATTTCGACCACCTGGAGTTTTTTAACGTGCACCCAAATCTGAGCACACGGGCTTACAACATTTCCGCCTCTATAAGAAATGCAGCCGCCGCAGCACCACGCTAGCATTCACTAGAAACACAAAAACACACAAACCTCCATCTCCAAAAACCATGTGCTCTTTCTGTACTCTGAATGCTAAGCAGCACGAAAAAAATGCTCAGGCTGCTCAATGTCTTCATCCAAGAACTACAGGTGCTCACCATGCGTTTAGAACCAACAATGACCTCATTGATCGTGCTAATAAAAGTCTCTAAGCTTAATCCTAAATACACTCGATATGTGTTTTGCCTTTTACTGATGACATCTTTCTAAAGGTTGTTCGGCCTTCAAAAGAAAATGACCTGACGAGAGAGCTCTGACGAGCACCCCAAAGGCAATCTATTTGAAATAAGTCGTCAGGCGGATAGCATTTCTATGTGCTAGAAAAGGGTACTCCACTAATGATAGCTTTGTATTAAGCAGAAATAGAACAGCTACTGTCTTCAAGGCATACGCAATAGGTTATTTTCACTACGCGGTCACACAAGTTAGTTGAGAAAACAATTTTTTATCCAAGTTTTTTTCGCTTAAAGTAATATGATAACAATGTTTAAAAGGAAACAAACATGCCTCTTTGAGCTATTTGCATTATTTACTTTTTCTACATGCCCCTGTGCGGTGGTCTTGTGGCTAAGATACTCGGGCTCCTGACCCGCACGTCACAAGATAAATTCCCGGCTGCGGCGGCTGCATTTCCGATGGAGGCGAAAATGTTGTAGGCCCGTGTGCTCACTTTTGGGTGCAAGTTAATGAACCCCAGGTGCTCGAAATTTTCGGAGCCTTCCATTACGACATTTCCACAACGGCGGCATTTAGCCATTCTACAACTTTCCGAGAATAACTATGATCCCCGTAAGCATAACCTCTGGTTAACACCACGACCACGCACAAAATATGGGGCCCAAATGATACGCAATGTTATTCCCAGAATGTTGAATTATTAAAGCAGCATTGATGCAAATATAGAAAATATGACCACAAAGTTATTGCATTGTTCTTATAATTATTCATGATGTTGTTTATCCTTTTGTACCAGTTTGACCTTTTATGCATTCTATAACACATGTATACATAGCCTTTTTATGGGAACTGCTGTGTCTGTTTTCGTATAGATTATGTTATTCTGTTGATTTACATTACCGTATTTCTTTATAATATGTTTTTTATTTGTGTGCCAATCCTTCTAACCCATTTATTTTAGGCAGTGGGAGCTAGTCAAGCTGCTTTACACAGTTTTACTTCCGCTATCCTTCACGTAGTCTCAAACATCAAAATAAAGATTCAATTCAATCAAATATGGCGTTTTGCGACGTTGAACCCCACATATCAATCAATCTACTTGATCTGCATACTCTAAAGAAATACGCTACTAGTCATTGTCTCTAAAACAATACCCGGGACACGAAGACCAGCAACCCTCGAGTTGCAAAAGTCTCACTTGATGCACTGTCCTGGAAAGTTGGCTTCGTTGCGTTCATTCAAATATTCGACGACGAAAAAGGCGAACGACTGCCCCAACGCCGAGTGCTCGTTGAGGTCAGCGTGTAATCCCTGGCACTCGCACCTGTGCGAGTTTCAGGGATCACACACTGTATCACGGGAAACTGTGCGCTCACAAAGGCGTCTCCGCAGCCTCTCTGTGCAGTCACGTGGCCGAGAAGGCTGACGCCCCTTTGTGTTGCGAGCGATTGATTGAAATGCATGCCGGGATACTGGGACAGCGCTAGGAGGGTGGCGTGGAGGTCGTAAGCTGTCACTAGACGGCGTTGATTGACCTGATGGCAGGGAAGAATAGAAGGTGAAAAGTGTCTGTAATGACGTTGCTCGACAGAAGATGGTAACATTTCACGATAGCTTTAGAGACAAGGCAATACAGTGTACCGCCACACAATGGTCACAGCGTCAACATTTGCTCGACTTCATCGCTTGCTTATGTTCCGACGTGAAACACGTTAAAATCTGAAATGTGACCAAAATAATACACAAGGAGGGAAGCCTCGCGTTTTACAAGTGTTTCTGCAAGCTATGAATACAATGTCGCACGCCTGAAATGGCTCGTAAAGTTCTGTATAACATGTAAACCACTGGCCATGTAGCAGGCAAAGAAAGCAGTTGTCCAAATATCTTAATCTTCCGAATTCAACTTTCTGCAACACTTCTTTTATTATTTGCGAGAAATTTGGTGATTTTTTTCTTGATACATCCTGTTTTTCTTTTGTTTGTTTTTCAGCCTTCCCTAAACGGGATCGGTCATAATTTTTCTTCCTTGTTTTTTTTTCATAAGCTGTTCTCAAAACTCGTGACAAGCAACAAAACTACAGTTCAATAAAATAACTAAGCTCAAAATTAATCGCCCTGTATTTTAGGATAATAAAGACGATTGTCTGTCTTGGGGACCGTCAACCCCAAAATTTTGGTCTGTTTGTCCATTTGTCTGTTTGTCTAACCTGAACAATACGGGTACATTAAACGGCACCAGCCGATACTCCAAACGGCCGACCCCATCCACAGCGCCCACCAATGTTGCTCAAGATTCAGTGCTCATACTAGTGCGATTGCCATTTAAAAAGCCATTATTGCGCATATCTGGTTGTCTAACGTTCATCGGTCAATTTTCACCTAGGCACATTAAATAGTATATTTGTTGTACCAGCCTACGCACGTACTTAGTTTTAGTGAGTGAGTTGAACGTGAGCGTCAGAAAACCACCTGAAATCACTTCTAAACACACTATAGTTTCTTTTATTCCGATTCCGGGACACTACACGTATTGGTCGAACAAAAGTTGGCTATAGAAGTACAAAACTGTTTCTTTTTTGCTGAAGGCTGCTTGTGTAAACAAAAGCCACCCACCTCAAGGTTCACCGCCACTGTGGGATATCTGCGCAGTAATCTCTGAGGCAACACTATGAATCCAAATGGGGTCTTGTCCTCGTGGCGTCCGATCTCGGAAGCGCGCGCCACGCCGAAGCGGGCACCATGGTCGCTGAGCAGAATGACTACGGTGTCGTCGAAGAGCCGGCGCTCTTGCATGTTTCTCAGCAGCTCGTATACAGCACCATCCAATACGAGCAACGCGTGGGGATTGCTGTGCGGCGCGTCCGAGAGCCACACGTACGAGAACAACGGATTGCCGTCCGCGGCATTCAGCTGAATGACATCACCCAGGTAGTCAAAGAAAACCTGCGAACAGTTATTTGGGTATGAAAGCCTTGTTTAGGCTTCATCACCTGGACCCTATGGCCATTTTACATTCGCTGAAAAACCACTTCGCACAGCGATCCGACCACACAATATCCATTGAGTGCCTGGTTTTCGAGTGAAGTGCGTAACCCCTAGTTTTTCACTTACCGGAATATTGTTCACTGAACAATTAAATCTCACTCTCGGTAACATGTTAACAATGTGCATACATCACCATTGACCACTCCATTTAGGACGTTATATCTTTTCATTTGTCCCGTAACGCGTACAGTACCACTACACACGTGACCACAGTTTTTTTCTTTGCTGTATAAATGTGAACAATCATGCACATCACTACATGCTCCTAACCGGTGCTTTTAAAGCATTTGTCCTCACACAGGTGGTGCATCATCGTCTGAAGATGAAGCACCACCTCTTGACTGCCCGTTTCTCAAGGAAGGACCCAATACCTCGCTGTAATCGATCGGTTGGCGTGCCTGTAACAGTTTGCGTTATGTCTGCATTCCCTACGTATCCCGTGCATACTACAATGCATGATAAATTTGGTAACATTCACGATTCTCGGTGCCTGAAGGTACATGGATTGCATTTATAGATCAGGTGACGAGTCTAGATCTCATGCAGACAGAGCCTTCAGCAAATTGCGCCTATTTTTTTTACTCGCTAATTTTGCTTATATGCTTTCGCAGGCATCACCAATCACGCTCACCAACGTGTTCAATGCAGATTATTCCTGAAAAATCATCACGACCACCGTGTTTTTGTCGCGAGTCTTTGCGCGATAGCATCAAATGCAAAAAAAAAAAAACCTTGGCCAGTGTTCTGTTTAACGCGACAGGCGGAGCAAGCTTTTCTATAGAGTATTCAGGATGTGATCACGGCACGAATAGCTTGGCACTGAGTTAAATTAATTGTGAAGCCTGCATTTTGTCGCACTAAGACTAAACTACTAAAGTATAGGGCCATGACTGGTTTGAAAATTTAAATTCAAAGAACGCACGTACAGACGATTCGCTCTTCTACTGCTTGTGCTTAAAGTCCTGATGACAACGCTTTTTCGCAAAGAAAATACACGTAGACATGAGGAGAGGCCTGAGCAATCGCAAAAAAAAAGCTCAAAAACTGGTATTCCCCTTAATGTTACGCAAAAATAAACAAATATTTTAGGAAATTATAATATTTCTCGCTTCTAAAAGAAGCTTTGATATCAGCGTTCAAGTACAGCAACCGCATACACACATCGGCCCAAAATGTTTATTGTGGAAAGCATACAAGCAAAAGAGAACTTCTATTCCGATGCTGTTCTGGTGTAGCAAACTAAAGCGTGCAGCTTGAAATCGTGGCAACTTAGCCGACGCCACGACGCCGAGCTAATGGGGGGCTTCGATTCCCTCCCACGCCTTGTCGTGCGTGGCTTTGCCGTGTCTGGAAAAAAGGGTCTCCTGGGGTTGAGCCGACGCTCGGTGATTGCTTTCCCAAGTACCTCTTTTCATTTCGGGTAACCACACCCTAATATTTTTGGTAATGAAAATGTGTATTTATATAGCAATGTCTGACTAACTAAAACAATGCCTCACTCACCATGGCAAGACAGTACTGGCAGTTCTCTTTGTGTGAGTAAATGCTTGTCTGACCTTTCGCTCTCTTATAGTGACTGTTGGGAACTCCCTGCCGCACAGAGTAGGCATACTCTCTAGACAAGAGTGCTGGTACTCTGACTGAACGAGAGCGAACAAGCTCCCTCACCAGAGTACAGTCACGCTTCTGAACTAGAGTGCATACATTCTATGTGGGACTTATACTATTTCTCACAGTTTAACAACCTGGTTGGGCTAGAGTGCTTTTAAGAGTAGAACTCCTTTAAAGAGTAGAATAAGTCTTGCTTCTAGGAGTAACGTATAAAAAAGAGATTTGGGAAGCATTTTCTACAATAAACTTGTGAACATGCCACATCACATTGCTTGTAGCTTACGACAAATATACGGGATGGACATTGACCCACACATGGTAATCGTACACTACACATCAGCACTGAACACATTACGCTCCCGCTACGGACAACAATACACACAGCAACCGGCATATTGCCACGTGCACTTAGAAAAAAAATTAACTGGGCTGTCTTATCGAGTTCTTTTACCAGCATCACGCATGTGACCAAGTTCCGCTATGAGCTATCCTGATGCTGATATGTGGGGTTTAACATCACAAAACCACCATATCATTATGAGAGACGCCGTAGTGGAGGGCTCCAGAAATTTCGACCACCTGGGGTTCTTTAACGTGCGCCCAAATCTGAGCACACGGGCCCACAACATTTCCTCCTTCATTGGAAATGCAGCCGCCGCAGCCGGGATTCGATCCCGCGACCTGCGGGTCAGTAGCCAAATACCTTAACCACTAGACCACCGCGGCGGGGCTATCCTGATGCCCGATATGCTGCGACGAAACGAACAGATAAGAGACCACCGCATCTGCCGCCTCGCAGCCTGGTAGCCACTACTCATTGTCCTTCGCCCCGGGAACACCGGGCTACCCTTCGGGCCTGCTGTCCAGATTTTTCACCGTCGTGGAGCGGTGTGTCAGCGTGTTTTCGAGCACCAATGAGCCCAATCATCTTTTTATAATATTGTGGACTTCGTCCGCCTATATACTGGTGTATGTACCAGCCACGATACCATCACCTACAGGACACTTGAAGAAGATGCTGATGTTTAGTACATGCCCAACGCACCGCGAAACCAGCACAAGTGCCTCCCAAGCGGTTGACACGAAAAGAACCACCACAAAAAACAAGAAATAACAAACCAGCGGTAGCCGCCGGCTACAACGGCTGCCAGCAGAATTGGGACCACTCCCAGCTACTACTCGTTTTATGAGCCACCGTTCAACTTCTCCTATGAAGGCTGACAGTGCTCCCAGCCCTTTTATTATCGAGCAGCCCCTCAAACACCCGTTGTTTTGTGGCTGCGTTTGTGAGGATGTTGTTGCGACCTGGGTTGACGCTATGCCATCGCTGCCATCTAGTTGTTGCGACTCCGGGTCCTGCGGGTCTCAGTTTGGTAGCGGGCCCCCGTCCTAGGACCCATCGTCGAATAAGTCAGATGAGGCGCTCATGAAAACGACAACAATTTACTTACTTGGTTAGTAAAGTGATCATGTAGAAGTCAAGAACTGTACAGGAGAACTGCTGAACTGTAGAACTTATAATATGCAAAAGTCTGCCGCTAATATTGCGCCGCATTGCCAACCCTGGGCGCATTGTTCGTGGCTTCAGCCAATACGGCGCTCGATGGTCTAGGTGTTCCACCCACGAAGGCGGCGAAAGAACCAAACAATGCACGTGGAGAGGGCATAGTTTGCACGATGCCCAGATATGGTTCAAAACGCACTGCACCGACGTTTCGCACACGTCTCCAAGATTTTGCGCACGTCCGATGATCTTGGATGACCTTGGTTTCCAGAACTCTCCTGGCAGTTGGGTGAGGTTTGAAAAACCGGCTCCCGGTACACGTACCAAACTTGTCTGATTGCGTTCGGGTAGGACAGTGTAGTGGTCCGCCAGCTTATCGTCAAAACATGCCACTCGATTTAGCCGATCCTATGGAGAAAGGGGGAAGGAGGAGTGGTCGACTGATTTCTCGTCGTCGAGGCGCTGAGGCGGGCTCCCGCAAGGGCTGCAGCAGATAGTGCCTTTTCCTTTTGTAGCGTTAGCTACACTGGCCTCGCTGAGCCAGTTTCGCGTGGCACTGGTCTGCGCATGCGCAATGATGCTCCGCCACCGCCACGCGCGGCTCGCCGCCGGTGTGCGCGCAATTCGATGCGCTGCGCAGACGATCAGTGTTGTCACGCACCGGAACCGGCACCTCCCTCGCACTCGGCCGCGACCACGCGTGACCCGCCGCCGCTGGTGTACGCTTTCCAGAGGAGTGCCGTCATAGCCTTGGTAGACATATGGACGCTGACGCGCGCGCTTTCCCTGTGCCGTCGCCATCTGACACTGCGCTGGAGCCGCTTGATAGCGCCTCTGACTGGCGTTTGCCAGTGTGGTATAGCCATGGAGAAGGAAGAATAATCAGCTGAACTTTTGCTAACGCTACGCATATCCTGGCATAGCTGAGCTATGCCACTGCCATTTTTTCCTTTCCTTCAACCACACATTCCCTTCTCGTTGTTTGCTGGAAGGTGTGGCTTAGCTGCGAATTTGCGAATTTTCGGGACTTCACTTCGCCTTGCAAGGGGCAGCCACAACCGGTCTGGGTTTTAGCTTTCAGCGCAAACTGCAAGCACCACGCTGTTTCCGGTCTTTCCGAATTCACGGTTACCTCGAAATGGCCCAGCTGCCTCCTTGTTTGCTTCGAAAGCCTTGCATAGGGTCGAGCCCACAATGGCCTTTCATGGCTTGTGCGTTTTCAGGTCCTGGATCCCTTGTTCACGTTTTAATGACAGGAAACCAACCCGTCTTGACGGCACATCATTGTTTGGAATGCGTCGAAATATTTTCGTCCCGTTCACAAAGGCCGAGAGAATTCAATAATGATGATGGTCGTAACAACGTACAAGACTGGCTGAAGCTTTACGAGTGGGTCACTGTCTCGTACAAGTGGTGTGCTGACGACGAATTTCGCAATGTTTTCCTTGCACTTGAGGACTCCGTCAGCACCTGGTACGAGAACCAGGAGCCCTACTTGAAAAAGTGCGACACGTTCGAGAGGCAGGCACCTAAAGTGTTCATAAATTTCTTGCGAAGAGAGTGAGCTGAGGCCTTCCATCAATCTTGTCATTTGCTCCGAAACGAGCCCGCAACTATCTTTGCTGAAGAAATGCAAAAGCTATTCCGCCACGTGGGTGTGAGCATTGCTGAAGCCAAGAAGCTTCAGTATCTTATGAGGGCCGTCAAAGAGCAACGTTTTGTGGCTCCCATCTCAAACTCCGCGAAGAGCGTAGTAGAGTTCATTAGCGAGGAGATCGCCGTC